TTTTGGAAAATTCCGAGGAACTGGGCTTCCTCGGAATTTTCCGAGGAATATGAGTCCTCGGAAAATTCCGAGGAACGGTTCTGTTGGAAAATTCCGACGACTACATGTCCTCGGAAAATTCCGAGGAAGCAGGTCGTCGAAATTTTCCGATAACTTTTCTCCCTCGGAATGTTTCCGAGGACATCTCCATCGGTAAAATCCAAGGGAATTCCGAGGAAACCTCTGACGAAATGGTTTGTCGGAATGTCCTCAGAATTGTGGTTCTCGGTATTTCCTCAGAATTTTCCGAGAAAATTCCGAGGAAACCTGAATTTCCGACGAAAAGTTTCCGACGACCGTTTTCGTCGGTATATCCTCAGAATACCCTTATTCCGACGAAATTCCGATGAATTTTTCCGTCAGAATCGCCGTGTTTTCTTGTAGTGTAAGAATGTCCTTGCGCAAAAAATGCCCTAGATTTCGAATTAGAGGAGTCGATGGTGGTGAAGCCACTCGAGTATCAAACAACTTCAAGAGGCTGAATAGGAGATTAACTCCATATACCCTATACCCCTCATAAAAATCCCAATATATCCTTCTATTATAATATAATTTGTTTTTCCTTTTTTTTAAAATAGAAAAAGTTTCTCAACGACAAGGAATGGCCCATGGTTTATGATTGGTGACTTTAATGAAATTACCTGTCATGAGGAGAAGGAAGGAGGCAGACGACGTACTGATACCTCATTTTTACCTTTCAAACAAATGTTGAGTGATTGTGGTATGCTGGAATTCCCTTTCACAGGGAACATGCTTTCATGGGTAGGAAAACGCGCAAGAAATGCTACCGTTAGATGTCGTCTTGATAGAGCGGTTGGAAATGAGGACTGGCATGAAAAATTCCCTCATTCAAAGACGCAATATATGAGGCTTTGGGGATCGGATCATCGTCCGATTTTAGCTGATATTCTGAGAAAAAAGCCACGACGATCAAAAAACTTTAAATTTGATAAAAGATGGCTGGACAACGAGGAGCTCAGGCAAATAATTCTTGAAGGGTGGAAGTCACCTGATCTTCCACCCGGGGCGACTATCATGGACCATATTGTAAGCTGTAGGAAAGCCCTATGCGAATGGAAAAGGCAACTTAATCTGAACTCTGGGAAAAGTATAGAGGAGTTGAAGGAAAAGGTTGATCGGTTATCCTCGAATGATGACGCCACTACAGAAGAGATTGCAGCGGCCTTAAAGGACCTTTCTGATGCTCTTAAGGCGGAAGAGATGTTCTGGAAGCAAAAATGCAGGGTGTTTTGGTTGAGGGAAGGTGATAGGAATACTAAATTTTTCCACGCCCTTACAAAGCAGAGGAGAGCAAGGAATAGGATTACCCAATTGCTGGATGAAAATGGGAATGTTGTGGAGGATGAGGAAGGACTGGTAGCCATTGCTACGAGTTATTTTAGACACATTTTCCAATCATCAAATCCGGAGGCAATAGAGGAGGCACTCTCGGAAGTTTCAGCGACAATTACAGTTTCGGACAATGAGACTTTAACAGCTCCCGTCACGGAATGGGAGGTTAAAGTGGCTCTCTTCGCGATGCATCCAGAGAAAGCCCCGGGTCCAGATGGAATGACGGCGCTTTTTTATCAGAAATTCTGGGATGTCGTTAAGGATGATTTAACTCTTATGGTTAATCAATTCTTATTTGAAGGGATAGTGCCGAATGGGTTAAATGACACCAATATATGCCTCATTCCAAAAGTGGATAAGCCAAATCAGATGAGCCAGTTACGCCCTATTAGTTTGTGCAACGTTAGCTACAAGATTATCTCTAAGGTCTTATGCCAAAGATTGAAAAAATTTCTACCGGATAGGATTTCAGAGACCCAGTCAGCCTTTGTTGCTGGGAGACAGATATCTGACAACATAATGATAGCCCAAGAGCTGTTTCACGCCCTTAGAACAAAACCTAGTGGTCGAAATAAGAGGATGGCTATTAAGACAGACATGAGCAAGGCATATGACAGGATGGAGTGGTCCTTCATTGAAGCCACCATGAGGAAGATGGGTTTTTCTGACGTCTGGATAGCTATGATAATGAGGTGCGTCACATCAGTAAAGTATAAGGTGCTCATGAATGGGCAGCCAAGAGGGAATATAGTCCCGGAAAGAGGTCTAAGACAGGGGGATCCTTTGTCCCCTTTCATTTTTATTCTGTGCACGGAAGCGCTCGTTAGCCTTCTAAATCACGCAGAGAGTCAAGGAAAGATAACAGGGATGCGCATCACGCGTGCGTGTCCCTCGGTATCCCATCTTCTCTTTGCTGATGATAGTCTGTTCTTCTGTAAGGCGGAGCCCCGTGAATGTGAAGAAGTAATGAAAGTGGTCAAGGTATATGGTCAAGCTTCAGGACAATGTATTAATTTTGATAAATCCTCTCTACTCTTTGGTAAGAGGATTGGTCAGGATACAAGACAAGAGATCAAAGACACGCTTGGGATCCAAAATGAAGGCGGAATGGGAACCTATTTAGGTATACCAGAGGATATCAGTGGATCCAAATGTAAGCTCTTTGCGTTTTTAAAGGACAAGTTGCGACGTCGAGTGAATGGATGGACTGGCAGATGGCTTTCTAAAGGCGGGAAAGAAGTTATGATAAAATCAATTCTGCTAGCTCTACCCACGTATGTAATGTCCTGCTTTCTTCTCCCCTTGGAGATTTGTGAGAATCTAGCTAGTGCCATTGCACAGTTTTGGTGGAGTTCAAATCCGCCAAAGAGAGGTATTCATTGGTCGACCTGGGATAAGCTTTGTTTACCAAAAGAAGAAGGCGGAATTGGCTTTAGGTTGATTCATGAGTTTAACCTTGCGTTACTTGCCAAGCAACTATGGAGGCTGGTGCAGAACCCAGATTCGCTGGTAGCTCGCGTTATGAGAGGCCGGTATTACAGATTGACTTCGCCCTTGCGTCAAATTAATGCTAGTAGCCCATCTTACGTGTGGACAAGCATAACGGCTGGTAGAGAGTTGTTATTACTAGGAGTCCGACAAAAAGTCCACTCAGGATATGAGGTTAAAGTATGGGAAGATCCTTGGATTCCTACTGTACCCGCAAGACCTGCTACTCCTTTGGCACCAGTTCTGCATCCAAATATGCGAGTGAGTGATTTGATTGATCAAACAACGAAGTGCTGGGATGATAAGAAACTCCATGATTATGTGGCGGTAGAGGATATTCCATTCATTAAAAGTATGGCCATTAGTTCAACACATCGTCGGGACAAGTACTGTTGGAGCTATACGAAGACGGGACAGTATACAGTCAAATCTGGATATTGGGTCGCACGGAATATTTTGTGGAAAGAAGAAGAACCTGAAGTATGTGAACCCAGTATCACAAAGCTCCAAGCACATGCTTGGAAGGTCAGGGCTCCTCAAAAGATTTGTCATCTTATGTGGCAATTGATTACGGGACAGGTAGCTGTCACGAGCATCCTAAATTACAGACATATGAGATGTGACAATCATTGTCCTCGATGCGGGGAACCTGAGGAGACGATCAACCATGCAATATTTGAATGCCCTCCTGCAGTACAAGTTTGGGCACTATCATCTACGCCATCCAGTCCTGTTCTGTTTCCAGGACTGAGCATGTACGCAAATATGGACTATCTTTTCTGGAGGAAGAATGCGATAATGGAACCGGAATTGGACAGGGATCCTTATCCTTGGCTAATCTGGTACATCTGGAAGGCTAGGAATGATAAACTTTTCAGAGGCATTGATAGGGACCCCTTGGAGTTAGCAAGATATGCAGAGAGTGAATGCCAAGCTTGGTTCAAAGCCAATGAGAAGGAAATTCCGGTCCCCATTGGGAACGGAGGAGAGGACGACCAGGACTTAAACCTGGGTAATATTTGCATGGTGGATGGCTCTTGGACCTCTACAAATGACTTCAGTGGATGTGGATGGGTGCTAAATGACGAGTTTGGAAATGGCGAATTATTGGGATTGCGTAATTTTGATCGAGTGGAGTCGGCGTTGCATTCAGAGTTAGAGGCACTGCGGTGGGCAATGGAGAATATGCTTCAACATTCGCCATGTCAGAGCTTTGGAACTGATTGCAAGGAGATGATCGAGATGCTCAGGAACCCCCATGCCTGGCCTAACTTCTCAACTGAGCTGGAGAGATTGGAGACGCTGAAGATCTGCTTCCCGGATTTCAAGATTTTTTATGTTCCTAGACGACAAAACAGTGTGTCTGATTCTNACCTCATGTTGCTTGAGTAATAGATCAGCCGTTTGATGTCAAAAAAAAAAAAAAAAAAATAGAAAAAGTGGTTAAAGACTAATTGCCCTAACATAAATTGGATATTTACAAGATCCAACCTAAAAGATCCGACCCACCCGAAAAAAACCCTAAAATTTAATTCATCTACACCTAAACGACGTTGTCGAATAAATCAACTCCCTCTCCAAAAATTTATCTCCTATTTCGTTGCCTCCTCTCGACTCTTTCTATTGCAAAATCTCCAATTAAAATCCTAGAGTCTCTATCTTCATTCTTCCTGGTTCATCCATCTAAATTTCAGTTTCTAAAATTTCAGTGATTCGAGTCACAAATCAACTCATCTTCTTCACCGGCGCCGCCACACTTCTATTGCATAAAAATATTTGGTGACCTTTCCACTATGTTTATCTTCGTAAAAGTTTCTCATTTTGATCTGGATTTATGGGATTCTTGCTCCTGCTTCCCCTTGTATATCGTGAATGATTTTTTAGATCTATATCCACTGATATGTTCTAGTTCAAAAGAGATCTCGAGTTTTATTGTGCTTGATTGATTCACACTTGACCTCGATCTTCAGCTCTGAAATTTTGAATCATATGGTTTAAAGTTTAGGTCTTTTTAGCCTGATTTGTGTGAAAGTTATGAAAATTCTCTGTCTTTGAAGATAATCTGATACCACAAGAAAGATTAATCATATGGATTATTAACTGTACTTTTGAAGGATTCGATGGTGTCGCAGTTGATACAAGTTCAATCGAAGGTATGTGAAGTTTTAAAGTTTGTGGCAGAGCACGGAAGTTCCTACTACAGACAGTTGCTTGAGAAGAACAAACACTTTATCCAGGAACCTGCTACTGTGGAGAAGTGCCAAGAGTTCTATAAACAACTTCTTTACACCTCTCTCGCTAGGTAACGACCTCTCTTGTCTCTCAATATTTTCACACTCATAGTATATACAACTGATATGCAAACCATGAATGCTGAAGACATGGGGGAACTTGGGGTTGTGTTCAGAATAGTAACACTTATTGTTTTATAGGGTGTTCACTGAGCTGAAAATAGATGTAATATCAAACTTGTATGTTGTCTACTATATCTTATCTTTGCGTTGTCAGCCAGCTTAAATGCAGTCACGGAGTTGTTTCTTGTGTTGTTTAATGTTTTGTTTTAGGTTGTTAGGTTTTATTTTATGATGAGTTAAAGAGTTTTCGCAATGGGCATTACCATTTATGTGTGGCACTCAGTATTTGATACTCGTATAACATCATTCTTTCTAATAACACTCCAATTTGCATCTGCCAATGAATTTTTCATGATCATGTATGACATTTGTTACATAACTACAAGACTTTTTCCTTGTGGCACATCTACTAAAGCTTTGTTCCACTTCTTATTTACAACATTCCCAAACGCTATGAAACCTTCTGGAAGGAGCTAGACAACGCAAATAACTTATGGAAGAACATAACCAATCTGAAGGTAGAAGATGCTGGAATCACTTTTGTTTGGTCTCAAATGCTTTGCCTGGTACTGCGCAGGCGAAATAACCGGCAGAAGATTCACCTTCACAGGTTATTACCCTCGAAAGAGAGAAACAATAATGTGAAAGAACATTTTGAGTTAATTTAAGTATTTTGGATGTTCGAAACTTTGTAGGAGAATGCTTTGCTTTTGGATGTTTAAAACTTGGTAAAACAATACTTTTGGATGTTTAAAACATTGTGTGTTTCAGTAGACAAGTTTGGAAAACTAAATTTAGAGGTGTTGTTATGCCCAAAAATGAATTACTGGGATAACTGGAATTATTGGGTTTATTATTATGCCTAAAATCACTATAACTTTTTTTAAAAAAACTATAGAAAAAATGTAAAACACATGTAAAACGCCTAAATATATATATAAAATGAATTAAAAATAAATTTTACATGTAAAACGTGCAGCCATCATATATAGATGTAGTATTATATTGAGAGAATTGGAAAAATGAGACACTTTGAATATTTATTTGACCAAATGGGACTTTTGATATTTTTGGACAAATTAGACATGTTTTACCCTTGTTTAATAGAAAAATTAGTAAACTAAGTTTTAAAAATATAAAAAATATGTAAGTGTTAGTAAACATTAGTATGAGTATTTATATGTTTAAATTTTTATTAAAAACATTATGGAGTCATGTTTTATTTAATGTTATAGTAAGGATAGATTACTCATTCTAGCTATCTACTTCGTTTAGGAATCAGATAGTAGGTTTTACACATAGAAGTAGCTTAGGTACAGAACATAAACAAAACATTCTTCTGTATTGTACTTTCGGTAGATTTCTTGAAGAAGTATTCTAACAAGATGTCTATAGTTTATTTTACGCATATCTCCCACTTATAACCACGACTCTAACGACTACCCAGTTTGGATTATGTGTTATAACTTGATCTACCTTTTCCGTTATCATAGGTCTAAGCTAGAATAAACAACCGACCCTCCCTTCATTACTCTGCTTAACGTAGATTATATATTATAGCTAAATCGAGTAAATATGGAAACTTCCATATTTCGAAAAATAACTTACCTAAATCTACACCAAATCTAACAAAAATCTTCCAAAAAATATTCTCTCCCACGATTCTCTCTCACGATCTTTCTCTCCCTCGTTCTGTTCTTTGTCTCTCTTTTTTCCTCATCGACATAACCACCTCTTCTATCTATCAAACAACATGGTTCTAATCTATGTTACATCTGGTGTATGGATGTCAAGTTGCAGTGATCAATGGAGTTTCTTGGTAGACAAGGAAAGGCGTGGTCGACTGGTAACTATAGAAACTAAAACTCTGTTGGAGGAACTCAAAATCATGGTGTGTGAGGATTATGGGGTCGACCATATGCTCGTTAATGTTGAGTTCAGTTATGAGATGGTGAATCAAAGAGGGAATCCTCCTATTATAATCAGCAATGATCAACAACTATTTAATTATGTGTCACCATCTCTAGTACTGCTGCAAAAGAAAAGGAACGATTCAATTTTGATTTGAACAAGGAACCGTGTGACTCAAGTAATGTTGAGGATGAAGAAATTCATCAAAATAATCGAGGAGACTTTGTCAAAACGTCAACTGTTTCTTCTGAGAAGAAGCGTGTCGCTGAAGATGGTTCGGTGATGCTGGTTTAACGAGTGAAAACAATGGAGATGGTTGTGGGAGTCGATTTCACCCTACTGTCAAATAAATCGTAAATAAGGAAACTTCGGGAAAACCCTAAGTTTCCAGAGGAACCGGCTATCTGCGAGAACCGCACAACAAAGATTAAGATGACGAAAGCACTTAGAATTAAAACGAAAATAAGCGAGACTGAAAGCAAGAAGGTTCTTATTCAGAATCTGCGTTGAACTGGTACAAAGAGAGTAGCCGAAAACGTAAGAACTAGAAAACCCTAATTGAGACGCAGCTCGCTAACAGAAAAACGGAAAGATTCCTAAATGCTAGTTTTGGTGGTGAGAGTTCTGAATTTCGTGTGTGTGCTTCTGCCCTAGACCTCCTCTTTATATACTCCTCGTCTTGGCTATCCGATCTTTCCATTTCGCCCAGATTTGACTAAATCGGGAATTTTCCATTCTTCTCGATCCTTCCTTTTCTTCTGTGGAAATCTTCTATTTCTCTTCAAACCTTCCTTTTATCTTTAAACTTGACTTTTATTTTCTTTCTGCGAGTAAACCGTCAAAAACGTTGTCAAATCCGCGGGTTAGATTCCGTTAAAATCGCGAGATGGGTTTTCATCGCGTTTTAGGTCCTTTCGGGCCGTTTTGTGATAAAAACCGTTTTCCGACTTTTACGGGATCGTTTCCTGATCTGACGTCGTTTTTAATAATTTACTCGAGTTAATCGCAAGGTTTTACGATTTACTCGACTTTTTATTAAAAACACATTTTTTACGACTTACTCGACGTTTTTTATTGAAAAGGGCGTTTTTATGATTTTAACGAGAAATATCGAATAAATCGTATAGTTTAGGCAATGTTCAGTGTTTCGTTTAACCGTTGCCGTTTTATACGATTTTCTCGAGTTCTTTCCGAGAAAACGAAGTTTTACGGTTTTATCGTAAAACTCGAACGGTAAGTCGGATCGAGATGGAACGGGAGATATTTCGGCCGTGGTTTAGAATGCGACTTTGTCGAAAGACGTAAGTTTCAAATCGGGAATGCGGGAAATCGAGACGCGGAGTGTCCGGGAAGTCTCTAGTTCGCCCATCGGCGAACTAAGCCGGGCTGGCTTAGTTCGCCGATGGGCGAACTAGTTGATTACTACCTAGTTCGCCCATCGGCGAACTAGAGAGTGCTTCTTAGTTCACCCATCGGCGAACTAAGCCGGGTCCGGCTTAGTTCACCGATGGGCGAACTAGTTGCGACTAGTTCGCGTTTTACGGTTTTTTCGGTTTTTTGCGGTTTTGTAAAACGATTCTCGAGTTTTATAAAACGATCTTCGGATTTCATAAAAGGACCTTCGAGTTTTATAAAACGATCTTCGAGTTTTATAAAACGATCTTCAATTTTTATAAAACGATTTCTAGAGTTTTATAAAACGATTTCTCGAATTTTATAAAACGATTTCTCGAGTTTTATAAAACGATTCTCGAGTTTTATAAGATGATTCTCGAGTTTTATAAGATGATTCTCGAGTTTTATAAAACGATTCTCGAGTTTTATAAAACGATTTCTCGAGTTTTATAAAACGATTTCTCGAGTTTTATAAAACGATTCTCGAGTTTTATAAAACGATTTCTCGAGTTTTATAAAACGATTTCTCGAGTTTTATAAAACGATTTCTCGAGTTTTATAAAACGATTTCTCGAGTTTTATAAAACGATTTCTCGAGTTTTATAAAACGATTCTCGAGCTTTATAAAACGATTTCTCGAGTNAACTGTTCTTTTTGTATTTTCGCGGGGAGTTTTGGCTATTAATTCCGTCGTACCGATTTTGACCCCAACAGTTAGCCCCCCAGCTCGTAAGAATCGTGAGCCTTTAGCGTAAGGTTCTTGCGAGTGGTTAACCAGTTTTAGTTAAGTTAGGCGGAATTAATGGTCGGAAAGGTCCGTTGAAAGTGATCTTTCCACTCTCAGGGAGCGGGAAGCGTTTAAGATTAGGGCTGCGCCTTGTGAAGGCTGCCTACGTACCCTTTTGAGGGGATCAAGCCTTTCGTAGTTCGTTTCGGAGTTAAGGTTCGTATGACCTTTTTCGCGGCAAGACCTTTACGGTCTAGTTATATGTTTATCGAGCATAATGTTGTCGATGGCATCTTGACCTTTGCCGGCCTTGAGACTAGTCTCGTAGACCGTTTGATCTGGCCGAGCGTGGCCGTTATAGTTTTCGGACTGGCCGTGTGCGGCTATGAGTTCCTGCCGCTTTTGCGGCTTTATTAAAAATAAGTTTGCATTTTTAAGAGCGTGCTTTTATTCATATGAATGTAGCGAGAAGAATATGCTCCCGAGTTTTATAAAACGCGATAAAACGATTCTTCCAGTTTTATAAAACGATTCGTTTTATAAAACGATTCTTCGGGTTTTATAAAACAATTCTCGAGTTTTATGAAACAATTCTCGAGTTTTACAAAACAATTCTCGAGTTTTATAAAACGATCTCGAGTTTTATAAAACGATTCTTCGAGTTTTATAAAACGATTCTCGAGTTTTATAAAACGATTCTCGAGTTTTATAAAACGATTCTCGAGTTTTATAAAATGATTCTCGAGTTTTATAAAACGATTCTTCGAGTTTTATAAAATGATTCTCGAGTTTTATAAAACGATTCTCGAGTTTTATAAAACGATTCTTCGAGTTTTATAAAACTATTCTCGAGTATTATAAAACGATTCTCGAGCTTTATAAAACGATTCTCGAGTTTTATAAAACGATTCTTCGAGTTTTATAAAACGATTCTCGAGTTTTATAAAACGATTCTCGAGCTATATAAAACGATTCTCG